TTTACTTTAATATTTTAAGCTACTTTTTATATTATAATATCACACATTCATTGTATTGTCACTACTGCTGTTTGTTCAGTAAGCACAGGAAGCAAATTTGGTTTACCAAACAAGAAATGTGTAGTTCGAAAGCAAACAACTTTAACATCAAACATTAAAATCTCTATTTCATAAATGTTTATCATCTTTATCGCCGACAAACATTTTATCACAGATTATTCGGCTACATTCAAATTTGTTTTGACAAAAAACTAGTTCAATTCGGTTTTTGATTTCTAGTAATGGAAATATACAACTACACTGGCTAGTACTAGATTTGATTAGTATGGCTATCTAAAACAACCGGGTCTTTAAACTGAGTTATCATAACTGACCACTTTTAAAACAGTAATTAACGTTACGTCACTAATGCCAGTATTTCCCCGGTAATATCACTTCCGATACATTAATTCTGAGTATTTAAGGTCAAACACCTATTAATCTAAACTGATTTGTTTATTTACTTGTCAGTGACTAGGTTTTACTTACGATTATCTATATCTGGACAGGTGATAATCTATTTTTTATTTCGAGACAATTGTTCAAAGTTCTTTTTTTACTCTTTAAAGATACTATATACTTACCTATCTATGTAGAAATGTATGCAAGACGTGGAAGTTAAGAAATAGGATGAAACACAAGTGAAAAAGCCTTAAAACATAAGAACTAATATAAACAATGTAAAATGTTATAGTTTATTAGTTATCCTTTTTGTAGTTGCCTTGTTGGCCGAGTGGTCGTAAGTGCGACTGCCGGGCAAGGGGTCTCGGGTTCGATTCCCGGGTCGGGCAAAGTATTACTGGGCTTTTAAATATTCTCAGTAGTAGCACGGAGAGAATTGTGCCCGGTATATGGCAATAGGCTCACTCCCTGTTACATGGGACTCATAACATAAATAGTGAAAAGTGGGTGTTACATTGTACAGTGGTATAATGTGCAACTCTGCCTACTCCTTCGGGAATAAAAGGCGTGATGTTATGTTATGTTTTTATAGTTTTAGCTACTTTTTAGGTTAGATGTAATGGAATAACTGCGTTTCTGTTTCGATTGTATTTATTCTAACTTATGTGTATTTATTCTCACGTTTTACTATATTTATTGCATTATAATAAAGTATATTGATATATTCCTGTATTATATTTCGCTCAAATTCATCAGATTTTACTGACAATCAGAGAGTGACCTAATAAAATTACGTCGTATATTATTAAATCTTATCATGACAACTTTAATTCATATAAATTAAAATGAAATAATTCCTTTTTTAATTCAATTACTCATATTGGATGAATTATGGAAATAATAAGATCATAATGATAAATTTTGTATATATAAATTTTATATATAAAAACGAGGTAAGTACATAGGTCCCACATATTCACATATATCTAATTTCTTCCTGTGGTTTTATTGTGGTTAATGAATTATTAAAAAAAAACAAAAACACCAGAATTGTAATACACATATAAATGAGTACGTACGTAACTGCATATTACTTATATGTTTTTATAATTTAATGCATAACGATAATTCGAAATACAAATATAGGGAATTTAGGGCTGATTAAAATTTGAACCAAATTCTTGGACGCTGATGCAACCGTCTGAAAAAACATAAACAAACTACGTATGTATTTGTGATAATACATTTCAAAACTTATGACACATGCAACGTTATGTTGCATTCAATTCATTATATCCAACCATACCATTTATTTCTTAAGTTAATTTGCAAATCAATGTGTGAAAAAGTTTAAATTTTAAAGTGAAAGAGATGCCACTCTATAATTTACATACTAACCCCCTGTATAGAGACAGTAATCACCATTAAAATATAATTATTTTTTACTGTACCTCATATACCTCGATATGAAGTGTTTAAACTATGTCTTATTAGTCCTAAAATACACAAATTATTCAGATATCACTCTAAAAACAATACCCAGAAAATATTGAAGAAAATTTCACATTTTCATAAAAATATATATAAATGAACTAGTTTTCAAATCAACAAACTATTAAAAGCCCTTGAATGTATGACATTCACATTGATACTAGAAACTGTGTCAAGAAATCTAAACAACAAATTTTATGAACGATTGAAATACAGCTTTTGTTAAAATACCAAAGTCAAGGCTACTAGTTATGACATTGGTTACGATTCAATTGATTTACGACTATAAAACTACTATTGATACGGTTTTCAATGGAATAGGGACACATTGATAGCTGTTATAAAATTATAATGATACGTAATAATTTCATTTGATAATAGTATTAACATTTGACAATGAATTTTTGGTACGAAACTGGAATTATTATATTTCTAAAAAGTCTAATAAAGTATACTTACCTACACAAAAAATCATATTTTGTTTAATCCCACACTAAGAAGGCCATTAGATACAATGAAGCTACATTGTGGAAATCTTCAACTTACAAAACCGAACTCAAAATATTTCACGAAACGCTACAGTGTTTTCCACGCCGCCTAGCGTCGAGTAGCGACGTGAAAACTCACCCCACACACCCAAACTAAGTCCGTGTACACTACCATCCCTTTCCACACACCCACACACCCCTACATATGAACGAGATAGACATATATCGGTCATTATATCCAGATTTCCACTCGAGAAAACCGTACAACCCTTTAGTTGTCTCTATTATCGCCGTTCATATGAGACAATTAGACAAGGACGGGTATAGAGCGAAGGTTTTATGTCACCGGACAGTAGTGACCACGATTTTTAAAAGGTGAGTGTGCAGCCTATCACGGTGTGTTTGGTCAAGCGATTGGGGTTCTTAGGTCGAGTACAGAACGTAGAGATTTTTCTTTTTCCCGAAATAAAAATATCGTGAAATATTTCGCAAATGTATAATTACATTTTTACTTATAAACGTTTGGAAAATATGTATGCGATTATAGAAATCAGATTGCAATATGAATCGTAATTTCAAAAGCAAAACGTAACTTCAAAAACAAAAGCAGACTCGAAAAACATCTCCCCACAAAACAACAAAAATAACGAAATCAATAAACAATCAATCACTTAGAACAATTTGAAATTTCAATAATCGAACAGTCCCGCGAAGTTTGCGACTGACTCGAGAAACAATTATGAAAAAGTTCTTTTTCGACGCCCGTTCTCGCGCCAGTTAAGTCCCGACTGACACTCATAAAACTTATTAAAGTCAAGGACCGACCGAGATAAGTTCGTCGGCGTCTTAAGTAAAATAACGGCGGCGAGGGAAAAAAATGTGCCGCGAAAACTTGCCAGCGAGAGTGAAGATCTAGCTTTACGTGTTGCGCTTTCTTGAATTTTTCGGTAATGTAGTTTTATGTTCTTACTTTTTTATTTGTGCGAATAAAGTTTGTAAGGAAGCTACGGAGTGTTTTGAAGGCTTTATTTCCGTAACACTTGTTTTGTTTACCACACGTCTTTGTTTATTTTAAGCATTGACTTTTCCATAAAACTGTTGTCATGTACAAAAATTAGTTAAGCGACGTAATATAAAATACCGTTAGATTTTTCCATTGAGTCTACGACGACAACGTGCTACGAGTCGCGTAGCGTACGTAGCCGCTTGCTACGTGAACGTGTCGTTTACTCAATGACGCTGACGTAAAAACGTATGCTGTCCTATTACGATGTTGTCATTAAAATACACAAATATATTTGCGTGAGCGCTCATATTAATTAATTTTTAAGTACTTTTAACATTCGAGCACCATAAATTAAGCTCTATCATACGACAAAGATCGTTTTGCCAACTCAAACAAAATAAAACTTTATAAACCCCTTTTACGCCAGTTTTTAATTTTTAAAATCCGCCTTAAAACGTAAACTGACCGCGCTCTGGTCCATTCAATTAAAAATTCCATCTCCTAATCGAGTCATGAAATATGCAAGCAAATATTATCCCTTTTCTTTTGTACGCGCTGCATCTTCGCCCCACCCGCGCACGCACACTGACGCACGGCACTTATGATTTATGCCCGTCTCGCTTCCACCCACGCGTCTGGTGGTAGAGCACGCGTGACACGGTCTCTGTCGATCAGCCGAGGCGGTGGCGACCGCGAGTAACCCCTGGCCACTTCGTGTGGACTCGCACGCGCCGTCGTCGGCCGGCTGAGCGAGACAGCGCGAGTCGTGGACATGAGGAGGCCGCGGAGCCCTCGCGCAAAGGGACACAGGACAGACGCTCTCGGACATCGGGCGAGAGCGGGCGGCCGGCCGCGCACCTGCCTCGCACCAATTCGCACGCGCGACGTGCTCGATCGCGAGACGCTACTTCGATATATCGTAAACACAAGACAACTGTTAACATTTTAAAATTGTTTTATTTTGGTGTTATTTTTGGCGTTAATTTATGCGGTGAAATAAACAATTATTTTCACCGGGACAATACAAATTATTTTGTTTTTTGGACAGTGACAAAAATTTTCGTTTGATCGGACTGAAAAGTGAAGAAGTTTAAACAGATGATATTTAATGAAGTGTGACCAAATGAAACGTTTACCGAATCGCAGGATCGCCACTAGGTGTGGATAGATTAGATAGGGCACTGAGACGCTCATTCAAGTGTTGATAAGGCCCTCTTTATGACCAGTCGATTTTGGCGAGCAAACATTCGGCTGACGTGTGAACTGTATCACCACAATATGAAAAGGAAAAAGTAAGATAAAATAGTTGGATTTTAATACGTGAACGATGAAGAAATTAAGAAGATGACTAAAAGTTTTATTGATGTTTACCGTCGGACATTCAAGGGGGGATTTACGATAACACGACCTCCGTTATCAATAACGTTTTAGAAATAGGACGATAAGCCGCTGGACCGACGGCGGCACGTGTGAAGTGAGCTAAAGAACTGTCGTAAGATAGCAAAGATATTTAGATAAAAAATTCGAAGGATCAAGAAGTTGTTGAAGGTCTAAAAATAGGTGACCAAATCAAGATGAGAATCAAGATGCCAGCTGTACGCATCGCGCAAGGTAAGGCTTAAAAACTTTTCGAAGTAAATAATCCAGCTGAATTTTATTTGTTGAACTACATTGTAAAAATGTTTATCTACCGAAATTTACGGGAAAAATGTCTGGAAAAAAATGGTATGTAGATAAAATCCTTAAATGTTTTACGAGAATTAAAAAAAAACAAATCATCAACCCACAAAAAATTAGCAACTCATATTTAGCCCCAAAAAAATGTAACGTTACTAAATTGAAAAAAATTGCCGTGTCCATGCAGAACTCCATCCAACCCTGTACAAAAACATCATCTAAATAAACACACAGTCCACATGCACAATATGCCAGAGCCGGCGAGACTCCATTCACTCAGGCAACGAGCTACTTAATACCGGAGCTTGTGACAATATTGACACTGCGTCCGTGGTCATCACATGTCCGAAAGGGAAACATGAAAAGAGGACTAAGTAGCCGCTTTAAAATATTCATACCAGTCTTCCCCGAGCTGGGGATAATGGACAGCTTACTACAGTAACAGACAAAGCTCAAATTCACTTTAGAGATGGAAATTAAAGAGACAATGATGCTATTACTGGTCACGCTAAGATTAGTAATGAAAATGATAGAATCGTAAATTTGACAAAGGTGATAAATTTCGGAAATGGCAGGCAAACCTTTAAAAGTATCATTATGCAGCAGTAATTTGTAATTAAAATCATAATTGCAATGTCAATTATTATATCAAGTGCAATAACTTTAATGATAGTTTTAAGGTCAGCAACACACCTACAATGTAAGACATTGCTGGCTATAATGAATTTATTACCTGTAAAGTTAACTCTGCTTTTATTATCTCCTAGATCATAAATGCAACAATCTACTATGTGGACAAAATTGCCATTTACTTCAATGTCAATAAAGTCTAGAAGGATGTGTAGAGAAAAATATGTCAAAATATTTAAGCTAATTTTTGTAAGCCAATTAAGAGATGTAACATAAAACATTAGAAACTGTTTTCTGAATACACATGCCTTTCCCATTGTTTCTAGATTTGATTCCCACTATCAAACAGTTAGGTGTATTAATTAAAAATTATAAGCAAAAGTGTAAGCATCTCATGTTCTTTCCCATGCTTTACTTTACTCACAATAGGATGACCAGTGAATTTATAATTTTAGACCGCCAATTATTCTCACGTTGCTGTTTCTATTAACTGGAATTTGGATAATTGTCTATTTTCATGTATAAGGCACTATATGTGTGTCAAAGTAATTGCCCTTTTTATAGCGCCAGATATGATTGATCCCTTTTAAATTACCTTTTTATTGACATTAAAAATATTTGCAGATAATACACATTTTAAAAAACATCAATCTGCTGAAAATTAGTCTTGTACAAGTTCATTATTTTGTAATATATGCGCCTGCGTCGGTAGTCGACTCTCGCGCACGGACTCCTCTCAAAACTAGCGTTATCGCACACATGGGCAATTAGTCCAAGTTGACCGGAGGCGACGGGCGACTCGGATTGGTCGGTGGCAGAGTGACGTCACCGTCGTCTGCGGCCGTCGCGCCCGATTGGTCGACACGCGTCATTTCGTCGATGACACGTTTGTTCTTATTTTGAAAGCAAGAAGTTCGAGGTACTTGGGTTTTGTTGTGAGTAACAATGGGACCCCCTTTACACGTACATGAAATTGGATGCCATTATGTGGTCGCTTGTGTATGTATGCACGTATAAGACCAGTAATTACTAGCAAATTTAAGCCAAAATGATTACTTTCATACACTCTTTAAATCTGTCACAACACCGATCACAAAACAAAAATGTTTTCAAAAGTTGTAAACGGAATGGTATCGCAAAATTTAAAATGTAAAAGTCGTCAAATTTTAACGCGATCCCAATTATGTCCAGAGGCACGAAACCTTCTGGCTTTTTAAAACCCTCCTCAAAAGTATGAATTAGGGAATCGTAAAATTACTTTATCAGGTGCGAGGCCAGACGGACGGGGGATACCGCGAGCGTAACTTTTGAACAAACTTTTAAAAATCCAAGTTAACTTTCGTACCGTGCCGTGCCCGACCGGGGTCTAAATAAAACATTAACAGAGGTACGTTTTGTTTTTACTTCGCGTTTGTCACTAATTGATATGGGTTTTCTGTCCTCTCTAGACTTTTTAATTGATGTTGTTTTATTTTGTTCGCATTGGAATGATGAATACATCATTAATAATCATTTTGTTTTTCAATGTATGCAGTAAAGTTCCAGAATTAATAAAAGATTCAATGCTCCTACAATCTGTATCATTTTTTATTGACCAAATGTTTTGTTAATTGTTTTGCCATTGTGTTTGATACAAAACTGAACGGATGCAACATAAAAGGGCCGCATGTCAATTTAAACATTGCCTATATCTTGTCCTTTGCCGCTTAGCGATTCAATATGTCTTCATTAAGCGAATATCGAAGGATCGCATTTACAAACGGAACTCTCAATCTTGATCCTTGGTCAGGAATTATTGGACCACGGTTAATCTTCGTGTCTTCATACAAACATACTGTGAGAAGCAAGAGTAGGGTTGGGTCCTATTCTATATTTTGCATATTGAACTGCTGATTTTGATTGAGATAATAGAATAATAAAATCAAGCAGCGGTACAATCTTGATTTAACGGTCAAGTACTCCTTTCACACGGCAACCGCTTTGTTTACAAAGGAATCATGATTAACGAGCAATAAATATCACAAAGCACGCTAATAGACCTGATCACCTATTTGAACTGCACGCACTCAGCAATAATGCATCCACGCGAACCATGGTCGTGGGAAAGAATTCCCATCTCCTTATACTTGATCCAATAAATTGAATTCGTCAAGAGAACATATTTTAGCAATTGACAACCGACGTCCATTAGAGCAGTATAAGAGAAAGCCACAACAGATAATTTATTTTGCAACATATTTAAATTATGGGAATGAAGTTAATTTTCTTATTTAGAATAATGATTGTGCGGACGGCCACCCGTTTTGAATTTCCAACTGGACCGGCTTGATTTTATGCTTTTTTTTTGAGCGCGTCGAACGGCGTTTTGTTTTTGATTCTGAAGATAAAGACGTATGGATTTACATATGTTATGTCAGCGGAGGTCCCTGGTAACATTTAAATTGGATTTATTAGTCCGGTCCCATTAAACAGTGCAGAACAACGTTGGAGGCATTCTCGATATGATACAGACCATTTTAGAATTGAACAAAAAGCCATAAATGCAGATGTGGAGAGAAAAACTGAGTCAAATTGAAATATGTATGACAAGCAAAATAGAGATTGAAATATCTTATTCGTACTTACCGTTATATTAAGAAATTTCCATTTTATTTCAAAGAAAAAATCTCAATAGCGACTACTCATTCGATTAAATTAATTAATGCTCTTTGATTTGTCTTCGAACTACAAAGTAAAAACGATCCGTACTTGAGAAAGACTATACAAAGTAAACGGACAGAAACAACTACAAAAAAAAGAGAGAAAACTGCTGTTTTTACAAACAATCCTTTCAAGGAAAGGAAAAGGATTAATAGAACTAACAATACAAATCCAGTTACAAACAATAACAACAGTAGCCCAAACATTACCTTTTTTGTTCACAACTAAGACGTAATCTATGACATTAAGATGAGTCACGGAGATAATACCTTTACAGCACAACCAAACTTATCTTGTACAAATAATCTGTATTGTAGTTTTTTTTAACCAATAACATTTTCGGTATCGATTATGATCGTTACATTGTAATCGTCAAAAGGATTGAATCTCAAACCATCAGTTTTGAGAAATACAGCAGCTCTTTAATCTTTAATAAAATGTTCTTCTCAACGTTCCCGAGCCAAATCCTGACTTAATTCAATTCATTACTCACAATAATTAACTAACCAGATTAAATAATAATGCGTTGAAAGAATCTATTCATCTTCAATCCAATCTTTTATACTAAACCTTCTTTGACCAATGTCCGCCTATTAGGCTCTATTACGGGCTTTAAAATAAATACAGAGCGAAAACACAATGGAATAAAAAATGTTCATAACAAGAATTAATTTATTGTGAGCAGACCACGATCAATAGACGGGGAGTGGGTGGACAGTTTCTCAAGAGTCCATCTTTGTCAGGCTTTGATACCAATTTGTTATTGTCGGCCTTTCAACGTTAGACGATTTAAAGTTTTGGTAGGTGTTAGCTTTATACAGATTACAGGCTTAACAAAGAACTTTTACTCAGTTCTATTTAACAGAGTGATCAAAAAACAGAATCATTTTAATACACGGAAAATTTTCAACGTAAACAACAGCTACAAAGATTTTATCGATCAGCCCCTAACAACAGGTTGACAATGGATCAAAATTCGATAGAGGCACCTGAATCTCTAATATTTTCCCATGGTCAAACTTCGATAAACACCTTGACAAAAAATCTATTCCAGCCTTTGACAAACAATTGGTCAAAAGATTTTTTTGGCCAAAACAGGCTCAGACGCACCCACATGAGTCGGATCGCCGATAATATTAACAATACGGAATAGGGTTGGTATTCGAAGGCAAAATAAGTATTGTGCATCATTATGTGACACCCTTTCATCAATTTTAATAGAAAAGAGCTTACAAGTGTCACTTTCTTTGATTTTTTCTATTTCATGCTCTATTTTTTGTGCACAGGCACAGTAGCATTATTGCTGGAAATATAAATATGTATGTTTGCAAATATGCACATTGTATAGTAATTCGTTTATTCGTTCGACCACACTACACTAGTGAAAAGCGGTATTTAGCAAATGTGTGGGCCTAATCATCAAGAAAGAGATTCTCTTAAAATTAAATAATGAGATTTAAAAATGAAATGAGATATTTAAACTAAACACAAGTGTTTAACGATTTCTTATTTTTCCCATCTGTTCATTAGTTAATCTTTTCGACTTTTACTAAGTTTATTTAAAGATAACACTTATTGCTTGAATAAATAATTTATAAGGGAAA